ATGAAAATTTAAAGAGATAAAGCGCCCCAAAGTTCATAAGAAGAGGCCCGTGACGTCAACGCTTGCTTAAAAATGCCGCACGTTGTGACGTCGTGCGCAACTTCAACGCACCATAACTATGTAATTATTTGTTAGATTGACTAATAAAAATATATGTGTCCAATATTTTTTGATATTAAACATTACGGACTAAAAAAATTTTTTTAGGCAACTAGCCTATTGAGCGACTTTATCGATAGATCAATGAGCGACAACTACTAATTTACCGTAAAATATTCCTTTTTATTCTCACTGACTGAGAGATGCTTGTGAGAAAAATATGTACAATTTTTTTCTGTAACTCTTACTTATAATGGCTGCTACTTATAATATTATTCTAAAGAAACCTTTTACTCTGGCACCTGTTACTTTATTACCATTTATCCAAACCAGTTATGCATATCCGTAATCGTAACCGAAACTTTCGGATATCCGAAATAAAAAAATATCCGTAACCGAAACCGGTAGAATATTTTTCCTATATCCGTAACCGTATCCATAACCGAAACTACATATCCATAACATCCCTAATCTAAACTCCATTACTTTGCAATATACACAACAGCTATTTGTTTGTTCTCCAGCACCTAAGCCTAGAGCGCAACAGGATAACCGACCTCCGCCAGTGCGACCGCTACCTGCCTCCACACTTAGAACATCTAGGGCTGGCACACAACAACATCCCCGACCTGAACGAAATCAGCCATCTGGTGCACCTGACGAAGCTGGATAGCTTCTCAGTGCAAGGCAACCCTTGTGTAGCTATGGCGGGGAAGGACAAACTGTATCCTTTTTTACCGACTTCAAAAAGGAGACCGCTGCTGTCTTTCCTGAAGACTATAATCCGGGCCTTTTCAAGGCGAGAGTGAATAGGCACTTACAGGGCAGATATGTACCATCCTAGACTGCATCCCACTTAACACCAGGTGCGATTGTGGTCAAATACCAGTCTATTTATGCATTAAAAAAAATTCTTATTTTGGACCTTAACACAGAGCAATAAAGTTCAAATTACGTATCCGGTACAAATTCAACTAAGTATTCATCCGTGGATACCATGTTACCGTTAACTGGGTTCAGTTCAGGGTTACCTAGGGGTAAGATAGGAATCAGCAATTAATGAATGAATTTATGAATTGAAATACACAACTTTGCAGAACTACTGTTTGTGAGTTACAATTTTACGTGCTATTTCAACGTTTTTCACGTTTTTACAATAATTCTTATATCTTTGATGTTCTTTCTTATATTTGACCCTAAATTCTAATTTATTAACCTCTACATTCCGTGCGACTGAATTAATAAGCGTTATTTGGAATGTGCGTGACCAAATAAATGGAGCTGTTATGCTAACTTCGTTAGGAATTATACAACTTAGAAAAGTTATATGAATTATTTATGGATATTATGAAGATTCCGATTTTTTTATTATTAGATTCGATGCTATATCATTTATATTTTACTACCGGTTGCTAAGTTTACCTAATAAATGTATCTTATGTAAATAGTTAAATAAGTATATGTTTAAAAATCTTTAAAAAAAATCTTGTTAGAAGTTTTATAGAAAAAAACAGTTCTTTTTCTTTAATGTTCCTTAACTGCTCGATACTCAGAGGTTTCGACTACCGTCCGTTCGTCTTGAATTGGATACTCAGTGTGAAAAGCATCGATGGCTTCGTCGTCAGCGCGATAGAGAGGTAAGATATTTTGTGCATATTCTTTCTCTCTCTATCTTGATTGCTCTAGCTAGACCGTTTATATATTTTTTTTTATGTTAATGGCATTCAAATCTCTTGAAGAGAAATCTGCCAATGTTACTTGGTTAGTTTCCTAGATCTTGCACAAAGCAAACTGATGATTTTGGGACTCATCAATATTATGATTTGGGGGAGGCCTATGTTCAGCAGTGGACGTCCTGTGGCTGAAATGATGAATATTATGATTTGTGTTACTGACCAATGTCAATAAATTTACCTTAGCAGTTAGGTTGCTTTCCATACTATGCTTGTTCATTTATTATTTTCAAGTTGCATTATGAATATGCAGCAGTTTCATTATGGGCCACTCAACCGTTGTCTCGTATTCACTTGGAATATCTAATTATACTTTCAAACGACTATATAATGTCTAACTTAGTTATAATTATCGCGTTTGCCTTTCAAATGGCATGGATACCTTCATTTATGTCAGTCTCATTTAGAGCAATTGAACTTTTTTCTTGAGGGTAATGTAGCGTTTACGACACACAATATAAACAAAACTGATTGTGGTTTTAGGAATTGGTACTTTTTGAGGTTTAAGTAGTATTAATCGCAATCTTTCAGTACCTTTTCGTGACGCGCTACCATAATAGTTTTTTTTTCTCAAACTCCGAACAAAATTAAATAAATAGTGATTACAAGCGGCTGCCCGCGACTTCGTACTTGTTTATCCCGTTTTACCCCCTTAGGGTAAAACTTAGGGTTACATTTTGCAAAATTCCGTCTTAGTGAGCACCTACGTTCTAAAAGGAACCCTCATGCAAAATTTGAGACTTCTAACACTTGTATTCTGAGATTTCGTGATGAGTGAGTGAGTCAGTCAATCAGTGACCTTTCGCTTTTATAGATATAGATTTAGCCTTTGTCCTAACTTGACACTTAAATGTTGCCAGCCTAAAAGCAGAATGGCTGTACAGTCAAGGCAAGGGCCGCCATTTCCACGCCGGCCAGCACCAAGAGTTATGCGAGTACCTGGCCTCCACCTGCCCTCTCACGGCCGACGCACTCGAGACCGAGGACCAGAGGAAACTGCGCCTTATTCTCAGCAAGGTAAAGTATCTTTTGACACCTGCCATAATAAACAAAAAAAAATGTAACAATCATAAACAAAAAAATATAAAATATTGATCAAACAGATGATTTTATTTTATTGTTCCAGGCTCAACATCATCAACAGCAGCTAAAAGACCAAAACCACAGTCCCTTGAAAACTAAGTTACAATCTCCGAGAGTTCAATGTAAGTATAATAAAACTCGTATTTTTTCTAACATTCTAGTCTTTTCAGACATTCTAATTGATAAGTTTTCAATTTGTTCATCACTCCGCAAACACATTTAAAAGACATTATTAGTGTCCGACCGAATGTTCGGTTTCGGTTTCGTTTTCGGTTGAGTTTCGGTAAAAACACGAGTTTCGGTTTAGTTTCGCTATCGGCGGCAAACTTGCCGAAACTACGACCGAAACCGAATGTGCATTCGGGAGTTTCCGCGCTGTTATCGGTCATGTTCGGCGCGTTGAATGAGTGAATGAATCCGATCAGAGCCAATGTCGTGATTCGCTCGCTTGTTTGTTTGCTTGGAGAAGCAGCTTTTCTTCAAGACTACTCCCGCTACCTCAAGGGCGAGCGCACGCAGCGGGTACCCGCTCCGAGGCTAAGGCTGGTTTTAGTCTGGCTGGACAGTCCACGTGACACTAAAACCAGCTTACGTGGAGGCCCCTAGAGTAATAATCTTTAACGTGACATGTGTGTCAAAAAAAATGCACTATTGAGTAATTAATATCAACTTTGAAGTAAATCACCATCAAAATAACTTTCTACCCCTTTTTAACATAGTTTCACTAAAAATACATAGTTTCACTAAAATTTCACTAAAATACTAAACACGTCTTCCATTAATTCTGTTATAGGAATGTTTATGCAAAATTTGAAGTACACTCAACATCAAATAAAGCGCACCTTCCGCGACGCGAACTTTATAGATTTTCTTCTGACACAATCATGGTACCCCAACAATATTGGTGTTAATTGAAAGCCCAATAAATATTCTTAAAGAAAAATACATTTCATTTCTAAATAAATGATTAACATTTACAATAAATGTGACTTGAAAATAGACCTTACTTTGGGCTCACCTCTGGGATCAATTAGACCAATTTTGATGGTTATAAAACCAAATAAAGATCTCACGTGTCCTCTTTAACAGATGGATAGCGATTAATCCCAACTTAACAGTTTTATAGTAATAAAAAAAAATGGCTATAGCGTAACTACCTATTTTTTGAAAAAGTGACTCTGGATCCTTGTAAAGACACATTTTTGGGGTAAAAACCTTTCCTTTAATGAAATGAAGTTTAAAACTAGGCTTTCAAATGGTACCAATGTTGGTGGGAAGTGGGGATGCATACGTTTGATAAGTGCTTGTCGCGGGAGGTGCGATTTATTTGATGCCGAGTGTAGATTGGACGAAGGAATCTCGTTATCCCATATAAACTTTGCCCCCCTTTTTACCTCCTTAGGGGTAGAATTTTGGAAAATCCTTTCTTATCAGATGCTTACATCATACAAAGAACACATCGTCCAAGTTTCAGGTCTCTACGACTTATACCTATTGTGATTGTGATATTAGTAACTTTGTGATTTAAAGTGAAATCTATGTGATTTAAAGAGAAAACAATAAAGTCTGACTGATTATAATAACGTTTTCTTTA